CCCATTTTAGAACCTATTGTGGGGATTGGGATGTTGACCCATGGCCATATATATATATATATATCTATATCCATGTCTTGTTACCTTCGATGACTCGTGACCCGGAGTGAACGATCCCATGGCTCGCTCCCCTTGGCTCAGTGTTTCTCGCTGGATGGGAAGGCGCTGTCCAGTGCCACTTGTGTTCGAATGTCCATGAGGAAGGAAGGCTTTCAAACGCACACTTAGTGGCTCCACCAATCACGCAGTCCAAAGCACACTTTGAAACAGTTTGAACAATAGCCCTAAGAGTCCCTTGGTACCTTCCAAGGATGCAGTTAGGGGGGGGGGGGTCATTTGGTCATCAGGCCGAAAAAACGATTCCCGATGTTCAACCTCCCCCCCCCACACAAAGAAATGCTTCAGCTTGTGAAAAGGCCAGGCGCCTCCTTTCAATCAACACAACAACAAAGACGTCAGAAACTGCGTCGCCTAACAATCTAAGAATGACATGAGAGATATGTCTTCAACAGAGGGCAGCTAGAATCACCTGCAACGATGATGCGAGTTTTTCCTCAGCAGCTCAAGCTTTGATGTTTGTTCCTAAATGGGCTGTGGAGTGGTTTGAGTTCCGGGTGCAGCTGTGGAGAATATCAGCGCATGTTTGACCGCCCTCAGCATCGCCAAAAACACCATGAGTCAGCCGGGAAGTTTAGATCCACCAGGTACTTCCTCGCATGAGCCTCCATGCCCGCGGTCAGAACTGCTGGGTTTGCCGAACAGGAAAATTGGTAGTTCCTTTTTTCACAAGCCTGGAAAGAAATGGTTCCAGCTCCACCCAAATGGTACCTTTAGTTTGTAAGTGCTGATTTGCCCGGCCTTGTATAAGAGGGCCTTAACAACTAACGGGTTGTGGATCGCTTTAACGAAATTCAGGTATGATGACAATGGGTTTATTCTGCATAGTGATTTAGCAATGTGTGCAATGTTTCAACCCTTTTCTCAGAATACCGTGGCCTAAATGGAGCGCCTTGACACAGGTGCCCCGATCGCCACGCCCCTGCCCTGCACTGCCTCTGTGCTGCGACCAGGAGTCCGACTCGAGAGTGGCGCCTCGCTTATGAACTTTGTAGGTTTGGGCGGACCAACAGCTTAGACTTCTACTGACCGGCCCCGGTCAGGCCGGTCGCCGGTCAGGAAGTGTGAACTGCATTCACAACGAAAAGTCTGGATTTGTTCGGCAGATCCGCTACAGAGGCCCGATCCGTGCCATGTTGCAAGCGCAAACCCAAAGATTGGTGCAACATGTCCTACCTCGTACTCAATGCACGTGTTGAAGGCTATGTTTGACAATGGGGTTTTCCGGGTAGATAACTATCTCCTTTTTAGCCAAGGGTTGGCACCATATTCGGGTAGGGTATGGGGCATCCAGTGGATTCCAATTACCATAGTGGGTAAGCATGTTGTTCCTCAGGGACCCTTGGTTCCCTGGTTGCAATTTCGGTGTTTCCTTGCGGGCAGTGTCATCCAATTGAGTGGGGTTTCCCGAATCCCCACCAGAGGTGTTAATGGAAATTCTGTGTGGGATATTAATTAGTTGTCTTTATTCTGGATTTAGTAGATAAATACGAGGTTTAATTATTCAGGGCGAACTTGCTTAGTGGCGACTCCTTGGATGAATAGCGGGGTGTCCCCCGCAAAAGGATTCTCGGCAGGGCCCCGATTATCAACCAGACAAAGGATCCGAGACCCATCGACATACCGCACCCCCTTGAGTGTGCCCTTTGTAGGTGACCCCAAAAATACCGTGCTGTTGTTCTCTTTTTGGTTTCCCAAGAAACACAAAAGGGGTACCCTCGAAAGCTGAGACACCCATATGGACCCGTTCCATGGCAGGACCGGCGGGAACTCGCCTGGTACCGCGGGGCTATGTAGTGAAGCCCTACAGGCCTGAGGTGCACGAGGCGCACCTGTGATCAGTTTGAAGTTGGCCCGGACCGGCAGGCTTGGTGTGGGTCTCCAAAAAATGACCCTAAATTTTGGGGTACCTGGAGTCTCTGTGACCCTTCAACCATGGGGCCATGACCCATTTCCTTTCGGTCATGAAAGGGTAAACATGGAACAGAATCAGAAGAGAACAATACTTTCTGGGTGCCTTTTTTTCCAAGTTTGGTGTTACTCCGAAAGGCCCCAAAAAGACTTGTTGGAAACCGATGGCTTTTCCATTTAACCTACAAGAGGTGATCGAGCTTTAGCTTAGGGGACCCAGAAAGGATCCCCCACCACCCACATTGCCGTGCACTCCGTTTGTGATTTATGCAAGTCACCGAGAAGCATGTTGTGCTGTTTCACGCCTCAAGCAGTTTATAGCATTCTTAACGGGCTTACTCTACTCGATAGACGCATGAGGGTCCCAAATGGTTGTTGCTGCTTCCGTGTCCGGGCAAGTGATCGATCACTGCGTCTCGCGCTGCCAAATCAGCCCTGGGCGCTCGCGGTGGCGGCATGGAGCAGGATTCCACTATATTTCAATCCCATCCGGCCTAAGTGAAAAGCGAAGCTGGGAGTACACGAGCCAAAGATAAATTGCATTTGGCCGTTTGAAAGAGGTGCTGAATAATCCCTTGTTGATGTCAAATCTCAAGGGGCTGCTCATCAGTTGGACCAATCCCTGTTGACAACTCATGCCCTCGAGAGAATGCAGGACGGTGGGTTGCTGGACAGTGAACCGTGACGTTCGACTGATCCAGCAGCTGGCTTTTCGGGAAGGTTTTTGGCGAATAAAACGACTCATCACATTCAAGGAAACCGATGCTTGGCATGGATGATATTGGTCCGTTCCCCCTTGGGATATTCAGCACATAGAGGGCGTATGGCCAATTCCACCTCTGCAGAATGCAAAAAGGACGTTGCCCGAAAAGGAGCTAGCTCCAAACATGAATAGGCGTTTCTTCACTTCACGGAAGAGTGTCTGTAAGCCAGAGGTTGAACTAAACTTGCTGGGTCGCTTGGCCGCATCTCTCAATGCAAAATCAGTGGTGCGGCCCTTCAGAGTATGACGCTGAGAGGGAGGCAGGCGAGTCGACAGAGTGTAAGAACTATAGTCAAGTTTTGACGAGATCGTTTCTCCAAAATTCCTTCTGCTCCGGGTCCGCGCCCAGCCAATGCCAATACCTTTGCCCGCATCGCAAGTGCGAGCTGCCTCGCCTGACTCGGAAGGGGGGGATCGACCCCTTTGGCCAGTTGATCCTTTGAAGCATGGAACAGGCGCCTTCAGCATCAACTTCGAGCCTTTCCCACCAGGGTCTGCCCAAGCGAGGCTGGTGAGCCACCCCTGCTTTATCAGGACTTGGTGCTTCCAATGAACCCAACCCCTGTGATTCATGACTAAGATGACCATGAAGGATCAGCATCACATGAGCAAGAACAAAAGGCACCGGAGCAACGCCTTTTTTGTTTGGGGGGAAAGGGGCCCATGCCTCATGTCCTCCCTGGCTGGCAATAAAAGAAGGAAGAACACTTCATGAGCGGTGCTGCTGAGAAGTGTGGTTCACGTATTACCGCTGGGTGGAAAATCCGATGCTTGTGGGCAGGACAATACTGAAGCTTGCTTTGCAGGTCTTTTGTTGTCCAAACTAGTAAGTAGGCTTTTCTTGTTCTCCATTGGAGGATTGTGTTGACCGAGTCCTTCCAAATGGTTTGTCTCGAAAAGATGCCCCAACAATGACTACTGTAAGTTGAGATTCCCTTTGATCCCAACGCAAAGGCTGTCATTAGTGCCGTCAGCCGTGGGCTGTTGCGAGTCTTGCGAGATCCGAGCCGCAGACCTTTGCGCGCTGTCTGCCAATGCCGACTTGAAAACGAAAGCAAGGCCGCTCTTGGCGAATGTGCGCGCCTGCTTGTGGAGTGATTTGGTACCCTTTTTCCGTGTGCGTAGTGGTATGAGAATGGGGAATCAAATGGAATCTACTCATTTTGGGTGGCCGCCTCATTTTGTGAAACTCCCATCTGGAGCAGTTGGGTCTTCAACTTGGTGCTTCTTGTTTCCCGAACAGCAAGTGCAAGGAGGTCCTCCTGCTGGCCCAAACGTTCTCCAGAGCTTATTTTTCTGTGAGCCGCTTCGGCAATGCTCACTATGACCAAGTGTCGAAATGGTAAATCCTGTAAAACCAACGCATTCCTCTTTGAAGTTTGGGGGATTTGCGCTACACCGGTGTTTCCTGTGCAGAACGCCGGAGGATCCAAAGCAAACCGTCTCGTTGCCAATCCAACGGATGGCAGAAGGAACCCAGAACCCATACAAAGGAATGAAAAAGGAACCCTGAATGCGAAGGAACCATTTCAGGTTTCTGGCATCTCCTTTTAAGGTAGCCGATACAACGTTGAGTTTCCTGTGCTTGTCACCTTTTCGAAAGGAAGTTGGACTCTTCAGTTGCCAAATACGCTCAGACGCGTTGTGTTTTCGGGCAAACAATGCGTTTAGACATTTTGACGGGGTTTGCTCGGAGATTCTATGCTTTGCCAGGAGCAACCAGTCCTGCGCCCAGAGACGTACGGATGTCGCCACGATTTTCCTGGGCATTTGCCATGATGGGCCGATGATGGGTTTTGTTTTGTTGTGAGTTGCTGCCCTTGGGGTTTGTTGAAGGAAAGGCAAGGTGGGTAGACATCCAGGCTGTTTGCAGGTGAGACCATCCCATCCGAGGAAAAGTAAGCCAAAGGCAAGCTGTTGCCAGTGCCATGGATCCAGTTGCTCGAAAGAGGCCAGTGATCTCGGTGACGACTAGGGCTGACACCAAATTGATAAGCACGCCAAACTAGGGTGCCCCACGACCAAGCAAGCAATTCAACTGGGAATCCTCCACTTGGGGTATACTGTCTCAAGGTCAACAACAGTCAACATGTGCTGTCAGTCAATTTGATAATCGAAGAAGTCAATTGTTTCATTTGTCCAGAACCCCTTCTCAGCAGCCAGATGGGAACTCAGCCGAACCGATTTTGCTCCATCTCCCCTTGCCGAGGCGGACCTGCGGTTTTGCTGGAGGAGGCGTGGCCGAATAATGATTTCAACTGATTAATTTCACTCAAAAGTGTAAGTAGAGGCAGGGGGGAGTTTACGCCAGCTGGTTGTTTCTTTTTCGTTGTTTCAAAGGAACTCTAGCCGACAACTCAAGCTGTGTCCCACCTAGTTTCTCAAGCGGTTGCCTCATAGCCAATAACTGCTCAAATGTCACCTAAAGGAACCCCAAAGGGCCCAAAGGATTTGGATTTGCTTTTATTTGTTCAAGACCCAATGTAGCACCCAGTACAGCTCCAAGAAAGGGCGCCATCAAGCACGCCGAGGATCTGAGCCATGGCACATCAATTTGGAGAAGCCAACCACTGGGTTTAAGTCTGCCTCAATCAAGCTGTGGAGAGACGCCGGATTCTATCCAGATATTGCAAGGGAACCACATCCAACCACAAGCTGCCACAAATCATCGGTTGAACACAGCTTGTCCTTGTTCCCTTTCAATGTACTCCTGCGGCTTAAGAAAGAACCCAAATAAAGCCAATGCTTTATGGAAAAAGGACCTGTTTGTGAGGGTAGGTGTTTTTTGGTTGTTTACAAAAAGACACCCGCCGTGCTTGGGTTATTGCCAAGCATGCGCGTCCCGGCCCCCCGTCGCTCATGTTCGAGGTATCCAAATTTCCAGTAGTCTATAAGCAGTGTGGGGAGCAGCGGCACGCTGTTTAAATTTCAACCAGGAGTCGAGTAAAACCTTTATTTCCGCGTATCCAAGTCAACCGCAAATGGGCATGTGTCAAAGCAGGGGCACCCCAAACATGGTGCTTGTAGTGGTGTTCCTTTGATTTCCATTTGAACCAACCTTTAGAAGAGTAAACACAGCACACGCCCGCAAAATCGGCATCCCTTCCTCCCACCTGTGGCCCCGTGCCGAAACGACGAAACGGTTTGGACCCGTTTCGCAGGCGCAGCAGGTTTCGGTGCTCGAGTCGTTGGCCGCAGCTCTTGAGGTGGCGCCGGCCAAGGCGGGCTGAACGCGGGTCCTTAGGTCCATGTCTGGACTTTGCTTTACATGTTTTTGTAAGACCATTTTAGTGGCAAAGATAATGTTTGGACTTGTTCTAGCCCATCAGGAGCAGAGTTTCTACCTGTTTGGTACCACGAGCGAAAGCCCATGAAGGCATTCTCATGTCAGGCTTCAAACTGATTGAGTCTGCAGAAGCAATTTGTGAAGCCCTTTGGCTTGTCAGCTCCCATGGACAGAACCAAACTCAGTCTGGGCCCCAAGTGGTTGCATTTTGAGGGCTTCTCAAATAGCTTTTGGGGCCTGGTACCCTTTACATCTCGATTTGGAGGCTGATTTCGAGCTCACCTTACAGTCGAGCAGAAGAGCTGCTGCAGTATTCGTGCCCAAGGGGCGCGGTCATCACTGTGACGTTTGAGCAGGAAGGTTGAGAGTTGGAACCGTCAACATTAGTTGGTGGATGGAATTTTCGATGTTGGAACCAATTGGCTGGAACCGATGGGTGGTCGGTTGATTCCCCAAACATTGACACCCATTTCACGATCTTTGGCATTGGCACAGGGGTTCGGAGACTGAAATGTTGCCTTCAGGAGATGGCTCCCGAAGAAATATCTACATGAGTTACAGATGCCCAGGTCCCGGTAGCTGATTGAATTCCTTTGTGGCATGGCGCCAAATTCAGGAGCCAGAGCCAACCAGAAGCAACAACCTTCGAGCTGCGGCCGAAGCTTTGGGGATCTGAAATTGTTGCAGGGAGGCATCAGGAGCCTATCTGTGGTAAAGGGGATGGCATTGCTCACATTCATCAAACAAACATTGGGAAATAGAGGATCATTCAACAATTCCAAGGCGCTTAAGGTGCCACACGGGATTTATAAATAGACGGCACTAAGCCCTCAAGCCACCAGACCTGTTTATGGAGCCCCTCTGAAACGGGTCATGTCTCATGCAGGGGGCATGGGGTACCCCGTGTGCACACGTTTTTATGTGAAGGGGCTGAGTTGAACCTTTGTCTAGGGGTTATCTTGGGCCGGGGTCAGGACCCCTTGGAATCATGCCGTTTGAACAGAGGCAAGTACATTCACAGGAAACCAACCGCGGCGGGGGCGGGGCCTTCCTTATCCAAGAAACACCCATAGCTAGGGTGCTGAATTATCTCACAAACGTGTTGATTCCTTTTCCAGGAAACCAACAGGGGACGGGTGATTGAAAGGTATTTGGGGGGGATCAATATGACCTTTAAAACCCTGACTCATATGTTGCTACACAAAGCTAATAATAATAATGATGATAAAAAAGAACATGTGAACCAAGCATCTGAAGTTGGTAACTCGGTCAAGTGTCGCCGGAGGTGATCCTTTGGCCAGCCAGCGGCGCGGTCTCCAGCTCCAGTGCTACCTCCACGACTGCTCGGCGTTTGGCCGAAGAGCCGGGTGCCCAAGGGGAAGACACATTTAGCCCGGTCTGCGGATGATACATGCCGGGGGTAAATGATAGGGGGTGTGATTTTTTGAGGGTACCCTGTTTAGGGGTAGTTTCAAAGGGGAACCAAGCACTGTAGCTGTGTGGGCACGCCCGAAATGCGTCACAGATAAAGAGGAACAAAGCAAAAGCACCTTTTCTTTTTGGGGGGTCCTCTGAAAACAACACACCCAATTAGGGCCAGTTTGTGTGGTACCGAAACAATTGCACCTTTAAGGTTTTAAGTTTCTCATCAGATTTCGCAAGTGCGGCTTGTCTTTGCCTTTTCGCGTGTCAATCCTTGTTGCTTGAAACCCGCAAGACAAGTAAGCTGGTTCCAGCGGGAGTACGTCTGGCCAAGGTTGGGTATGATGTTGCATCGGTCGGACTCTTTTGGTGGACATGTCCGTGTGGGTTTTGGGACCGCCCGCCTTGTCTCAGCCTGTTTTCCACAATTTAGAGACATTTGGTCCAAGACTCGGGACGTCTCGGAATGCTACAAGCCACAATGGGCCAAGAACGGGCCTTTCGAAAGAGTCCAACAGGAACATGGGGGCGTCAAAGTTCACTTAATTTATGGGGCAAGCCAAAAACACAACAGCCAGGCCCTCCCGTTTTCGGGCAAGCCTGAATGATTGCCGACCTTTGCTGCTTCGGTTTGGAAGTGGGAGCGCCAGTGAAAGGATCCCTGAAGGAGTCATGACCATGGCCAATGGGATTCTGAACCTAAGCGAGATACGGAGTTGGCCCCTTGGCCCTAGTCCTTCGATTTGCCAAATGCACCCACTCTGCCAACACTTGGGTGGTGTCTCTCCTTCCCTTGAAAAAGACACCTAGGTATATGACCAACACCCCATCAGAAAGCGCTGGCCGTTGAAGAACAATTACCGATGGTTGAAAATAGCAGGTGGCGTTTGTCCTGCTCGGCTGGTTACGCGTTGTTCTGGTGCTGAGTAGCGCATATTGTGCCGTGTTGTGCGAAAGCAAACCGAAAGGGAATGGGTAGTTGCTCCATTTTGCCGCCCCTACTGTGGATGGAACAAAGCACCTCCCTCACCATTTGGTAGGTTTATCCCAGTATTCATATGGTTCTTTTATCAGTCCACAGTACGTAGCTAACGTGTGCTTTTTTGGGTTGAAAGGGATACCAAAAGGAATCCCATTGTCGGGGTGCTTGACGCAAAGCCCATTTAGAACCCGCCCCAGACCTGCGTTCCGAGGTCCGTGGCAACCTGTTCCTTCAACTTGGCCAAAGCCTCTGCCCTCGCTACAGCCGTGGGGTTGGAGACGGCCTCCAAAACTTGCCGTAAGCAAGTGGCTAGGAAAATCCACATTTGCAGCAGTGGTCAAGGCAACTTAATTTGTGAGTGGTTCTGCTTTAATTTGCTCGCTCGGGAGAGGCCATGTTGAACCAAACATCAATGTCAACATGTTGTCGGACTGCGTAAAAGAGTCCGAAATTTGGGCGAGCCCCATGAGGAAGAAATGAAGCCACCAAGGTTGGAAGGGAATATCGGGACAAGCCTGCCAAGTATCCAATTGGTCGGAAGTTGATTCCACATTGCTGACGAGCAAGCAAGCTTCAAATGTTCCCATTTTGGCTCCCGAACAGGGCCCAGTGCCATCCTTCCTTCCTTGAGGGATGCATTTAACATAAGGTTGCATTGAGTCATCTTTTGACACCTTGAAAGTTTTGGGGGCTCCTCGTTCTCTCAAACTGTGCCTCTCCACGAAAAACAGGAGGTCATTTGGTTAATTGGAACTGACTGGTTACGCGATTTAGGTCTTTCACCCCAATGCCGGGCGTGCCTGTGTTTAGGGCACCCTTTTTGGGGAGCGTTCAAGGGAAACCGAAGTACATTCGAGATTATATCGAGGCCTGAGCCTTCTCCGGTTTGGCTTTCCAAAAGATTCACCAGGGTTGTCCGGAGGGTACCTCAACCAGAAAAGACATGGGCGGATATGTCCCTGGAAATAGATTCCTCTAGGTACGCTTCCAAACTTCTCCCAACGCAAGGATCACACTGTGGTTGCTTGACTTTTTGATTCTTTGGTTCTTAGTGGCCACCGAACTGTGTTGGTCACAACATGTCAAGGGTTGGGCAGCCCTTCCGCGTAGCAGATTTGGACTTCAATCAGAAACCAGCACGGATGATTCGCTTTGATACAGGCCCGACACATTCTCTCTAAGAGCCTTTAGCCAGTGCAACTTTTCAACATACGCCCCTTATATGACCGTTGTATGAGCGTGTATCCATGCTCCATATCTCCGAAAGTCTGCCCCGAAGCGGCTATTGATACTCATTACAATTGTGCCAATGCTGTGCTACACCAGTGTGTTGGTGTGGTTTTGGTCTTGGTGTGGTTCATTCATGTCCCCACTAGACAAGTCATCACTTCAGAGATTCAATGTCCCGCTCTCGTTGAGGATAGACGCTGAGATGCACAGGGAGCTCTTCACAGAAACTAGGGGTTGTCGAATTCGGGGCTTGTCTTATTCAGATTTCATGTTGCACTTCTCCCGGGCTTTTCTAGACGGCATTTTCACAACACAGCTTCCACTCAAGCTGAACCCGCCCAGTTTGATCGCTCGTACGCGCTCCATCGATCTCAGGTGATTGACGATGCGGCCCAGATCTCAGAGCCATGCGGGGAGGGACACCTTGGGCGAGAAACCAGTTTGCTTAAATCTCCTGTGAAAGGAATTGATTCTGCTTGTTTGGATGGGATGTGTTTGGACCTCGCACGAGCAGGGCGAAACGGGTGTTCACTTGGCCCTTTTTTTGCAAGGGTCATCATCATCATCATCATCATCATCATCATCATCATCATCATCAGCATCATCGAGTTGGGGTTCAACGGTGAGGTTTGCCCTTGACGACTCGAAGGACCACATTGGTAGGTACCATGAGGATCCCCGCCAAAACTGGGTGCCCAGATCTTGTGCAAGGTTTGAAGAGGGCGACGGAATTTGCTGGCGAGCAGGTCACATGTGGCAATGCAAGTCCAGATCCGATCCATTGGTTTGCCATGCGTCTGCGGCACGTTCGCCGGCACAGTCGGAGATAGCGTCTATGGCTGAGGCCTTTACGCTGAGGGTTCTAGCTTACATGCCCTTCAAATTGTGATGCCCGGGACAACTGGACTTTGCAGGCAAGGGAGGACAAATCCGCCGTCGTCACCATGATGAAGAAAACGTTTGCCTCAGACCGTTCACAGATTTGGAGCAATGGCGCAGTGAGAGGTACTTCGAAGAAGTTACCATGGTTGCTTGCTGTCCCAGCAAGGATGATTTGAACTAGCATCGTGATCATACTGATAGTATCATTTGGGTGTGTGGTTCTTTGAGGATACCCTTTGTCAGGTTGGTCTAAAGGGGAGCCAAAATGAAAACCCCAATTTTGGGGTCCAACCTTAAAACGACACGCCCATTTGACATTCAAAGCAAAGCGAACAAGCTTGACCCTTTGACTTCTCAGTGCACCCCTCATGACGAGCCCCCAAAAAGTAATTGCAGATCACCGAGGGTTTGTTTTCGGTGGGCCTTTCGGAGCAACAAACCGAGAGTTGATTGCTTGTCGTCATTGTAACGCTACATCCTGGACCAATGCCGGGTTGCCAATATTGACGATCCGCATGGGTCAAAGCAAGGACTTCGACAAGCCATATCAGGTTCGATAAAATTAATTGCCAGTATAGTATATGAGTCTTATGGGAGGGACATCGGGAGCTTCCCACCATCAAAGGACACTCATGTTCTCATATCCTCTTGGGGAAGCAAGTAATTTTGACCATGGCTCCAGGTTTGTTTGTCCAAGTTTGGACGACCCAACAAGCTCTTTCAAACCGAAACGTGGCCTTGGCCCTGTGGTCTTGCCTGATCAAAACTGGTCCTGGAAAGCTGAGGGTTCTCAAGCTTGGGGCCTGTGAGCGTCCGAGGACAAGAAGAGCCATGGAGTCAGCGGAGTCCCCTTCTGGGTATCCAAAAGGTTCCTGAGTGAACATTGTTTCAGGCTACCTACCCTCAATGGGTCTGGCTCATTGAGGCTCTGAACCTGTGGCTCTTGTAGAGTTTAGACAGGAACCCGCCAAGCTTCACCTCCAAACCAACCTTCACCACCAGGCAAGCCAGCCTTTTGGCTTGTTGAGGGAAGCTGCTGCTCTGTTGTCCCTTTCGAGCTCTTTGAGCCTCGGTCGCCCCTAGTCCGCACGGGTGCTGGATCTCACCACAGGGCGGGGAGCCTGGAGCCGAATCGCCGTGTTGCAACCAGGTCCTGCCCGGCCCCTGCAACAAGCGGTTGGTTTAAACAGCAAGGTGCCCACTTTTTGGCTGGTTTTGAAGATAACCAACTTTTTTCTGTTTAAGAAACTTGGTTTGCAGGTACCCACTGGGGGTTGAAGCCAAAAGGAAACAAGAATTTATTGGTTTGCGGGTCCCCTAATTTTAAGAGAAAGATGTCGCCATTACATGAGGACAGTTTTCCCACTGCTGAGGTCTTTGACGGACTCCCTTCAAGCACCCCCAACCTTTGCTAGCTTCGTCTGTTGTTGGACCTTTAAGCTGCTAACTTTCGGTCGCCGGCTAGCCGTAGCTTGAGATCGGTGCCAGTAGATGTCAACTCAAAATCTGCCTGGGGACATACTACAGTTGTAATGGGCCCAAAATGGATCCACCTCATTTGTTTTAGCGGACATGATTCCCCACCTGAATGATGTCCACCGAAGTGTTTAATTTGTTGAATGTCACGCCCAAATGGGTTCTATTTCTTTTCTACCTTTTGCGTCGCTGGTTGCCGCTGGGTTGGCCCACGTGGCTAGTTAGACTGTCTACTCCACTTGGGGACTTAGGGAGCAGGCGGCAATCGTGAAGCACTGCCTTGCGTCAGGTTAATAGACTTGGCGGATCACTAGGGGGGTGCTTCCTCCAAAAGAGTAGGGGTCCCTTCAAAATGGGACACCCTCTACAAATCAACCATGGGTGGTTTGATCCTAGGTCAACATGAGGGTACTCGCCACTTGGCCCGAACAATAAGATGCCCGACATCATAAACCATGTATGGAGTAGCCTGAAAGAGTCGTACTGGATTCCTCGGATTGATCAACATTCAAACCAACCAGTCAAACCCCGACACCTTTAAAGATAGGTTGTTTAAGAGTGGTTCCAAATTTGTCTAAATAGAGTCGCCCGGCAATGCTGGAGATTTCCTTGGACAAATGGACCAAACACACAAGCTGTGGATTTCTCCAGCCGAATTCGTGGAGAAAAGTGGGCAAAAGGACAGCCCGGCGTCGCTCGACAAGATATAGCAACCTTGCACATGCACTTTGCGGCCTGAAGATTCTTGCTTGAGAATGCAGATCTGTTGCGAATTTGTTTGAAAGCAAGTCCTTTTTCCCCCACCCGACAGGTAACTGGGGTTGTTTTGCTTTGGGTGTTTGGTCTCAGCTGGTTTCAAGGACGGCGTTTCTGGGCAAGGGGACCGTTCAAAGGTTCGTCACATGCCAAGGACGGAGCCATACCGCGTTTTCCTGGCTCGCCTCAGTGAGGCAGAGGTTCAGTCGAGTCGAGAAGCTTCAGAAGCGGTCAAGGGTGTATATTGAAAGCCAAGAACCAAACAGGGTGGTCTGAAATAGCCTTTGTTGCATCTTGCTTGGATGTTAGGACTTTAACTTTTTGCCAACTAATGGGTTTTCCATTAAACCACTAAAAGTTAAACTTTTGGCAACGGAGTAGCAGTGCTGTTGTGTTGCTGGTTTTTTGCCAGTTCACAACGTAAGACTTCTTGAGATGGAAGGGGCAAGCATGCCATGTCAGATCCCGAGTCCTCGCTAAAAAATATTGAAAGGTAGGGTGGGTTACAGGAGAATCATGTAAACGTTGACTTGATGTGCATGACGACGCATGATGACGCGGTTTCCCTTTTGTGGGGAAGAGGATGGAACAAGCACACATTAGGAGGGATTCGTTTGATTAATTAGTGTGATCCTCCGGATTATCGTGCATTCATGGCAGTTTGCGCAAGGAAATCCCTGAAATTTCTTTAGCCGCCCGATCCGTATTGGGTGCCTCCTTGCCAGCATTATGACACGCAGATTGTATATGCGCGTCCACTTTTTCGAGGACACATTTGTTTAGGTTAAGTTTAATAGGAGCCACCATCTATATCCAACTGGCTGCCAGAAATCTCAGCTAAAATTGCCGAAAGGCCGTTCTTTTTGTTTATCATCTTTTTGTTTGAAGGCGAGGGGCACGGCACATGGGGTTTAAGAGAGGTCAGACTTTTCCGAGCTGCCACCCGAACTATGGGATTCAAACCGTGCCGTTTCCTTGTGGCTGTGCAAGTGGGATGCGCACACCCCCAAGACTTCATGTGTTGTGGGCTTTTTTCGTGGCACCCTTTTTTGTGAGCAACCCTGATGAAGAAGTCAAAGTAGCCACAGCCAGCACCTGGTGAACGCGGCAGTTAAAGAGAACAGAGTACACAATTATCCAAAGTTACCTTGTAGTTCAGTCTAGCTGGAGTCTCCATGACCCTTAAATAATGGGGTCATTTCCCAAAATACAGGAGTCATGACCCCATTTTTTTAGGGGCATGGAGACTCAAGGTAGTTTTAGGGTGGACTCATTTCGAAGCAAAGCCCAACACTATGATGTTCTGTCTTTCTCAAAGTGCGCCAAGCTGCAGGCGGCGCCAAAAAAAGAACCGCCCCATGTTGATCAACAAGCACCTTGCAGATGGGATGCTGCGGGTTCCCTAGTCCTTCACGGTTGCTGGAGGCTTGGGAAGGACCCATGCCACGAATAGGGTTCAAGGAATGGTCCCACGGAAAGTTTTCCGGTTGATTCACCTTTCTAAACCAGCCTTCAGTCCCCCGAATTTTGAAGAAGAGAGCGAAGGCCATCCGGGAGTTCAATGCACTGGAAAATTGGACCTTCGGTTCCCTTGTGTTTTCTATAGGCTAAGTCCCCCAGCAGTGCCCTTTTCTCCCCCTTTAGTAGGGGGAGGGTTCGGGACCCTACTAAAATAGACCACCGACAAATTGGGTACCCTTATTCTAACCTCTCCGACCTAGCAAGGGTTGCCCGCTCTGTCTCTTGGCGGAGGCGCTGGCAGTCGCGCAGCTGCCCATGCCCAGCTGCTTTCGCCGGGGTCCAAGCCGATTGCCTGGGTCCAACAGCATTTGGGCTTTTTGGTTTTGTGCTACTGTCTTTCCTTATTTATCTATTGCTTATATATACGACATATATATATATGTGTGGTACTTATATCTCTCTCTATATATATATATAGATTTGTGTTTATCTATGGTTTGGTTATTTGACGCCTTAATGATTTGCCCTCGTTGCTATGAGTGTATTTGGTTATTTGCTCATCTGTTTGTGATTTATATGTTTGCTTATTAGTTGATTGGTTCATGTTGTTTGTTTGATTTGATTCTTTGTTTTGTTCATCTATTTATTTAATCATGTATTCACACGTGTCCCGTGCAAACCTTGCCATATTGGTCGCCCAGTGCAGGTGATGGGCGCTGCTCACAAGGGATGTGGCAGGCAAATGTTGCCGGCATTGGTTTGCGCTGGAAACTGTTGATTTGCCGAGTTGAAGCACTGACAAGATGATTTCACTGCCTGTGGCGGTTGTTGCCTTCTGGCAAGGTTTGGACTTCATGCAGTTTGATGGCTTGACGAGGGCATAGGGCTTCTGGCTTTGTCTTGGAAAGGGAGACATTGCGCTGAACCGACTGTTGCAGCGGCCTGTTGTGATTGCCGTTTCTGTTTTTGGCCTTTTTGGAATTCCTCCATTCTCCATTTGAGCCAGCGAACAGTGAACTTTTGTTGTAACTCACAGGGCAACGAGTTGAGTTTGCCCATACAGTGTATCAGAAAAAGCAAGGCGATACCAGTCATGCAACTTTTTAGCACTCCCAAAGCAGCTTCATCATGCGTGCCACTTGCCCGCCAGTTGCCATTGATCCAGAGTTTCAGCGAATCAGACTCTTTCATGGGTGTGTCTTAAAATCGGGAAACCCCCAAAAACAGCTAGATTCTCGTGTGGTGTCCCTTCAAACCAACCCCAAAAAGGTACCCTCCAAAAGAGATGCCATCTAAACACAGAAAGAGATCCAAGGAACCAAGGATAAAGGATCATCCCCGAGATCAGTCGAAAGGCAAAAGCAAAGACACGCAACCCCATCGGTTCATGTTCACCGAGTGCATAAAAACTGGGCCATACACACTGAGACCCGTACATCCATTGTCTTTGTTTTTTGGTTCGGAAGGAGCTTCGTTGGAGGAAACCAGCCCGCACGATGCCACGCGGTGTGCGTCTTGACTGGTCCCCGCGGCAGGAGATCCCAAGATGGGAGTCGAGAATGTGAAGGCGCGGCGGTGTTTCGAGAAGTCTCACGCAATGATTGCCCAAACAAGCCATCAGTCAACTATTGAATATCGGCTTGTACATTTTTGAGGATACCCTTTTCAGGTTGGCTTAAAGCGGAACCAAGATGAAGGCTCCTATTTTGCGGGAGGACATGGTCTTGGTCTCAGTCTACGCCAATATCAATATGGACATCAACAATGATAGGAGCAACGGGTGCCTCATGGCTGACTGGAAATCGGACATGCCCCAATCCCTCAATTTTCTATCCCACGGGTATGTTAGCAAGAGCCCTATCTCTTTGCGGTCTATCCGCTAAAGATAGCCTTTCGGTGACCCTGGACGAGGCATCCAAAAAAGTGGCCACGGGGTTCATGGGGCTGGCCATTGGCTGACCCGGAAAGTGAGACATGCAGTATCAGCGTTCCATAATACACCTACGGCCATGCGCCCACAGGAGATTTATCCACTCATGATTGCCACCTTAGCCCCAGTTTGTGGATCAGTCAGGAGCCTCTGGAGTTATGTTGGACTGGGCCAGGGTTTGCTACGTCGCCAATGTCTATAGAGCTGGCGGTGCCCACTTGTGGTTCCTTGTTTCGCTTTTGGAGTACGTCAGGGTCGTGGGAAGGAGGTGTTTTTGTTCCACCTCTTTGTAACACCGCACGCTTGATTCTCGCTTTGGTTTGGTGGGTTTGGGTATGACTCAGCTGGCGAGATGTGTCAAGGTGGAGGACAGTTTCGAGCTTGCAGAGTCCGTGTGGGTAGCCGCAAGCTGAGACCGATCGAGCCGCATGTCTTGCAGGATTGCACTTTGATTGTCCCTCCCACAAAGAAGCCCTCGGAAGCTCTCAAAGCCAAAGGTTTAAAGCTTTTCACATGCCAACTTTGCAACGTTGCTGCCATGTTTGCTGGTGGCCAACAATGCCGTCTCAGTTGCCCAGTTTGGTTCGTAATGGTCCCAGGCCATGAGGATAAGCTTGTTTATTCTGAGGTCCTTGGGCAGACCTTTGACCATGAGCATGACCCAGTGCTCTTGCAGTGTCCTCGAAAGCGGGTCTTTCCCGCGTTGCCATGGAACCAAAGTCCTGCCTAAACGGACGATTTCCCTGCACCGTGGTGTATGTCGGTTGTGGAGCTCAAGACTAGATCGCGAGATGCTGGTGTTTTGATTAGAATGATAGAGATAGTTGCGGCTCGATCACAATGTCCGAGACGTTTGCCAAGGTTTGCGCTAGTCCAAGCCCTCTTGCGTCCTTGATTCATGTTCGTTGGTATGTGGAATGAAATCAAGATGCTATACATAGGTTTCTGGCTGCACCTGAACTTATCCCCTCAGACCGCAACGTGGCGACGAGCTGACTGAGGCCAAGTCTGATTGGAGCAGGGATCCTCAGCTTGTTTTCTTTGCCTCAGAACCAGAGGATCAAGCAGGCAGGGCGGCACCAGTTGCCTGCTGTAATGGATAAAGCGTCATTGATGTCGGATGTCACGTCCACCCAAACCCCAACTCGGGATGAGGCATGTACAATTCACTCCACGCCGCTTTGGCAGTGCTTTGGAGTTGCGGGGATCAGACCCTGGTTCAAAAGTTGGCGTCTAACGAAATACCGTTTCAGTTTGAGGCCTTTGCGTCAGCCCAAGTGAGAGGTAGGTGGCTTGGTAGGATGGCGGGACAAGTGGCCTTCCTGTCCTTGCAAGCTCTGAACAAATGGGTAGAGAACAACTTGCAAACAGTTGGTGGTGCAGAGTCGTTGAGGGTCGCAGCGCTGATGGTATGCCGGCGGGCTATATGCAAGAAAGTGGCACGCAAGAAAGTGGCATGCAGTTGAGTGGAATGTTGCTTCAACGACTTTGGCATCAGAAAGTCAAACACTCGTGCAAAGGCACCACAGCGGCAAACAAATCAAATCAAGCAAGAACAAACGCAATGCAACACTTTGGTCACAATGATAGTTCACAACTACACAGGTTGTCATTTCATGAAATTCGCGAAAGCCGAGTTTACCACATGTTTATCTTGTCCAAGTCACATGTTTTCTTTGCTCCACGTACGAAAAAATGAGTTGCCTGGTGGCAAAGCATGTGTTAACCCCTTCCCCCAACAAGCCCCCCCTGAGCATACCCGGTCCCCTGGAGAAAAAAACACTTTGTTATATAGGGGGGGTCGCTGATGCCGCGTTCGAGTTTGGTGTTGGTAGTTTGGGTCAGCAAAAGTAAACAAGTGCTCAGGTTTTCTTAAAAGTGAATAATTCATACACACGAGTGCTTTGTTTGCACATTTGTTGGTTTTTTGGAGACGCACCTGCCAGGAGAAGAGAGGGAGAGAGAGAGAGAGAGAGACAGAGAAAAAACAAAGGAGAGAGAGAGAGAGAGAGAGAGAGAGAGAGCGAGAGAGAGAGAGCGAGGGAGAGAGAGAGAGAGAGAGAGCGAGGGAGAGAAGAAAGGGAGAAAGATGCAGTTTCCAAGTGCATAATTTAAGAATCACAGTAGTCTCAGTATAGAAATGGCCCCTAAAAATCGTGCGTTCCTTGTGGTTTTTCTTTAAACCGACCTTACCTCACCCACGGGCACAAACCAATTGCGTGGCATCCCATTTCGCGCAGCTCAGTGCCTTGGCTCGGTGAATTCTGAGGTGAGTGCCCCGCCAAGTGCGGCAAAGCATGGCAGTCTCGCAGTCGGGGCCGCCAGTTGGGAAATGTGCAGCGCCCAATTCCCGTTCAGTTCGGTTCCTTCCTGGAGTGGGGTAGTAAAGCCTAAGCTTTGTGACCTTCTTGGTAGGACGATTTTGGGCGCAGCTCATATGGGAGTTGCTTTTTTGGAGGCAAGCCATTTTGGTGCTTCGGGTCCTGCCTGGTTTGGGGATTATAGTAACCCCTATTTATATTAGCCTTGATACGGCCAAATCTCAGGGGTTTTGGGCGCTTCGTATGGTTTTGTCTCCAGAGGAGTGAGTCAAAACTAGGGACACTTCCAAATGATGGCGTTGATTGTACCTTCCATTGGAACATTGAAACACAACGCCCCAGCGTCAAGACTCCTTATGAGGGCTGCCATCGTGGCTTCCTAAAGAGGGACCCTGGCGCTGGTTGTCAACAAAAACCTGGTCAGGGTTTGACGGTTATCCCCAAGACTCCCAATAAGGGATGTAAAAACTAAGTGTTTTTTTGGCACCGTTGCACAAATTACCGAAACAGCAGCAGTACAATATCAAGTAGCATGTAATCATGGTGAAGCAGTGGCATGGAGGGGATTCGTTCACTCATTTGGCGTACGAACACGGGGTTTGGAGGCATAGGGCTAGCGGGACTTGAGACCGCAACCTCCCATGCAAGAGCACATGGGCACGCTGCCACTACCTTAGCTCACTTTTCATAACTGCATACAAGGGATGGGACAGATTTGGACCCTGGCTCATCCGTTCGTCTCCAAATTAGACGCACAAGAACTCAGAGCACACGGAAACACACAGACAGACACAGACAGACACAGGGTAGACCATTTTCATACCGGGTTTTCATCGAGGCGTCGCCTGCAGCACCGGCAACGAGTTCGCGTGCAACGCCTCAGGCGCCAAACTCCGATCGGCTCGGATCCAGTAGTCCACTGACCCCGACCACTTGGGTAGCGTCCACCTTTTTTGAATCCGGTTCAGTTCAACCTAAAGGGATCTTCCCTTTCTTCCTGGCCCGTTTTGGCGCCAAGGCAACCTCACGGCTTGCTTGCTGTCAAAGGCTGTTCGCCCAAAAGGGTGAAGATTCCGTTCTTTCATGGGAACCCCCCGCCAAATCAAGCAGGGCTTGGCTTGATTGATCCCGGGTGCTGTGACATTGATAGTTTTTCTTTAAACTGAGTGCAACGGCATTTGTGCAGACTCCATGTTTATTGGCTGCTTCAACAAGCAGGGAATGAGTTGAAAAGACTCGCAACTGCACCATCCCTTGCGTTGTCAGCGGGGATCCCAAACGGTTCATTCCCCAGTAAACAAAAATTGAGGGATCCCACAGCACTGAATGCTATACCCGCAAAGGCCTGAGGCTCTAAATCCCTTTTCGCTGGGCGACATTGTCCAATTGCAAGCTGCAACCGTTCGTGGCTCCGTCTTTCGTGGGTCCCCTTGAGGTGGGTTTAAAGGGAACCCAAAAGAGCCCCGCCAGTTTGGGGATCGTCCTCGCCTTTGCAGGTGCCAAGCTGGCGACTGAGCAGTCCTGCGAGGTCGGCGTCGCTGGGCTTCAGCGCTCGCTGGACGGCTCCAGAAAGAGGGGACCGTGGCCCTGGATGGCGTCATGTAAAGAGTGGTTTCCGTTTGGTGTCATGTTGCGGAACAGGTCTGTGGAACCCTGTTGCAACAGTGGAGAGGTTGACACCATCAAAGGGTTGAAACACACCAAGGGGACCTGAACTCATTGCCGGAGGGGAACCACCATATAAAGCGGAAGTTGGGAAGTTGGCTTTCCACTATACGCCAGGGTGCAAGTAGATGGCACTAGTCCTTTTCTGTCGGCAAGGCAGAACCGGAAACGGGAGGAATTGTGCTATACACGTTTACCTTGTATATAGACTGGTTGCCCTCCAGCTTGCAACGACGCACGGCTTGGGTTCGGGGACCTAAGCCACTGGCCCACTGGTTGGCCACAGGAATCCGACAGGGGCAGTTGTGGCTTTCCCCATTTCCCGATTCGATACCGACACAAACTGTTCGTGAACCTTTTCCACTTCCGCATCGGCCAGGTTCGTTGGTTTTCAGAACTATGGTCACTTAGGGAAGCCAAGGGATGTTGGAGAAATCGCATGGCCCGGCCCAACGTTTGAATTCGGCGAACCAACTCCGGCCAGAAATACGTGGACTGCAAATGGGAGTGGACCTGTCCCTTCAGCCGCTCTGCATCGGTGGCCAGGGACCCAAGGTCGCCCTGGAGATGCCTAGAACAATGGCTTGGGTTCCAGGTCAATCAGTGTACTTTCCCCAAGATGCTTGGTGCCCCAATAAAACAATTCAGAACATTGCTTACCCCAAAAGAGATACCCCAAACACTTTGGGAGAGCGACACAATTGGGATATGATCAACGCCATTTTGAGTCTGCTAGTTTGGGAAACTTTGAAAGTGTGTGCGTTTGTGTTTATTAGTTTGCGGGGTCCCCCCTCAGGTTTCAGCACTTCGCCTGACACTTTCTTCAGTGAGCAAAAACTCGCAGGTTTTTTCCTGCTCTCCCCTGCACACAAGAGTACATGTGGTTTTCAAGAAATGGGTTTTCCTGCAACACAATCAGCAAGGCGAGTGACTAACCCCGTTCCAGCTTAGAGGGTACTTGGGACCTGGGAATCAAGGTGCCAGCCCGGATACGAATTCGAGGTCTCAGAGAATCTCACGTGGGTCTCGGTTACCAAAAGATGTTCTCCAAGTGAAAGTCAACATACCGCCTGCTTAAACGATCTGGAAATTTGGCTATGGTTGTCAAATGTTATAAACCCCGCTAAACCCCCTTTGTTGTGGATTGTGTTGGGGGTCTCTCTAGTCTTTTTCCACTTGTTTTTTTTTGTACAAAGTTTAGGGTTGGAACCTCTGTTTATATTCATTAAACGCGTTTTTGGCTTAAGGGGGTGTGCTCTTCCGTTGTTTGGAGTTTCTCTTTTCTTGTTGGTGCTTGGCCCAACCTACACAACTATAATGGGGTTGCAAGGTACTTAAATACTTAAAGCCATAAAAACAGTAAGCTGTACACATACGCAAGAGTAACTCTTTCTTGTTTTTAAGAGGGAGTTCCCTTTGTAGTCAATTAGCCCAAAAGTTGATTGTGAAAATCAAGTGCCTAGAAAGGTCTGTCCAATGTTGAAGCGCTCGCTGTCGAGCTAAGTGTTAAAAGGGATGCCGCTTCCATAGCTTTCAAGCCCCAGAAAGGTTGACCCAAATTGGATGATGCCAAATTTGAAGCCCCTTGTGTTTATTGCGATTCGAATCCCGGGGGCTCGTTCCCCTGCCATTTGTTGCCGCAAAGTTTCGTCCCATCCGCTCAGACCTGCGGCGTGCAGCTCCTGCTGACAGGAGGCCGGCGGCTGACCTCTGACTGCTTGGCGACGCCGCTAACGTAACGTCCTGGCGAGACAAAAGACTGCTTGCCTGGAAGATGCTCAACTTGCTGGTGCGATAGGTTGGCAATGAGGGAATGAATCCAGGGTTGAGGCTTGGAGTCTGGGGCAATATGAAGCTTACGCAAGCCCTGTATGAGACTGACACACGTGCCTATGCCGTAGTTATTGTAAGTGCAGATGATGAACAAAGCAGGCCTCCAATGTTCACCATTTTGCCTCACTATGTTGCCTTGGTCTTGTGGTTGGATTGGTTGGTGTGCTTGCAATGTTTAGGGCATCCATTGCAGCGCCCAAGCTCAACATGCCTTCGAAAACGCAGCAGGGTAGGTTGGGACCAGGACCCCAGCAAACCAGCTCCAGGTGGGTTTGTTCAACCTCACATGGGCTACAATCAAAAGCTAGATGCAGCCTGGCAGTCCCAGCCATAAACCCTCTCCGTCCGCCCTTCTGGTTCTTGGATCTTGGCCTTGTCTTCCGCAGGGTTCCCTATGTTTCCCTTGGTGGTTTGAAACATCACCCTCGTGGGCAACTTGGAAGTGAGCTTGCTTTTGGCGGGGTGATGTTCAAAAGGGAAATACAGGGAGCCCTGGTCCGTGGCACCACTGCCCCCCGCGAGCTGCGACGCAGTCGCGGGCTTCGCAGCTCTCCTCCTGCTGTGGTGCTGTTTGCACATGCTGCGCCCGGGTCACGGAGTCACGGAGTTGAGTCGGTGCTGCCGGGCTCGAGAGCCGGGGAGATGTGGGCTTCACTGGCTGGTAAGGGAGGGTCACTATTTTGACGGGTGATGAAGGTCAGTATCGATGTTTGTTTGATTTTCTTGCTCACCACTTGGAAGGCGCCGCTGGGGGGGTATCCCAAAATTAGTGTCCAGAGGTTTTGTAAGATGGTAGCAGACTCGGACCTTTGTGAGCCCTTCACATCTCCCCATGACCTCGAGGTCTCTAGAATCCTTGCACTCGAAGGCCTCGAGGGCTTTCTTCGGGATTCCTTGGGCTTCGGTGTGCAAAACAAATTCTGATCCCAGGTTGGTTGGTTTTGCACGAAACATCTGCCAAGAGGAAATCCAGTTTGAGTCAAGCCCACGAGCACATACAACGTCCTGCATCGAGATCAGAAGCCGTGCAGCAGCCCTTAGCAACCTCACGGGACTGGTTCACCGGAGAAGCCTCAGGAAGACTAGGTATTTTTGGGCAAAGGAAGCCAGACTTGCTAAAGGATTGGTGTACAGCAGAATTTTACAAGAAATGAAGGTGTTGCCTTTGCAAGAGATTGATTGATATCGGAGATCTTTGCAATGTTGGGTTTGCCCTAGGCAAAATCAACTTGAGCGTTTCTTTGGGCAGGGGGTTGCAGGGCCTAGCTTCCTAGAGATTCCCTCCCTTGAGCTTGACACAAGAACAGCAAGCCGCACACATTCACCACTTCTGCCAAGGTCAATGCTGCAAATGGGCGCTTCCTGGCTGCAGCGGATATGGACGATGCCGGGAGATTGTGACCTGCGTGGGCTTTTCGTTGATCAACTTCATGTTCTAGCAACTGTTTTGGTACAATTTGTAGCGAGCTCTCCGACTGCAGGGTGTGACAAGCTTGCCCATGATGACCATTCCTTGCTTCAATTCCTTGATTAATTGACGGGTTGTGATATTATTGAAATCATGCTGACCCCACATAATTCCCCACTAAACCCAGGGACCCTCCCCTATGAATAGACAGGGGTTGATTAATGTGGGGTAAACATTCCGGAGATGATCCGAGATGTGTGGCTGTGCAGGAAGGGGATCATCGCCACCCCCTTAATACATGGAAGTGTCGGGGAGGCCGAACGCCCAATAAAGCGGATGCCTTTCATTCATATGATATGGGGAAGTTTTGCGTTGTTCACATCCATTTGCTTAAGAACATTTGTTATTTTCCCTTCCTGGTTTTAAAGGGAATCTATCACTACCGGATTTTTTCCAGAGGGCTCAAGCAAATGAAAGTTCAGAGTTCGAGGAGTAAGGCCTTCCTTTGCAAGATCGCCTGCAGTCCAAAACTGGGCCGTCCAACCTTCTTGTCAGGATCTCCCAGCCCTATGATTGCCTTACAAGGGCCGGCCTTTGCTATCCCATGTGTTTTGGGGTGTTTTTTGCATGGTAGGGGGCCTTGAGTGGATCTCAAGTGAGTAGTCATTCAGCTGGCTTGTTCCATCCTTATTCCAGATTCTTCCTGTCTTTCCTTCTTGCTGTTAGTATCAGGGACCCAATTTTCAAGAATCCAAGAGCTGAGGCCGAAGATGGGGGAAATGGCGCTCATGACCAAAAGCGGCGAGCAGATGAAGGCCACGCAGCCAGAAGCAGCAGGGTTGCTTCGACCCGAACCGTTCTCAAATCAGCCCTGTGTATCCTTCTTCAGCAACTTCTGCTCTGCCAAGGCGACCCTTGAACAAGGGGGAAGCACACTATTGGTCCGGGGGAGACGCACGTGTGCTCCAAGTGTGCGTTTGTGTGTTTGTGCGGTTCTGTGTTTGTGTGTTTGTGTGTTTGTGTTTGTGTCTGTATCTGTGTTTGCGTTTGTGTGTGTGTGTGTGTGTGTGTGTCTGCGTGCGTTTGTGGATGTTTGTGTGTTTGTGTGTTTGTGTGTTTTGTGTTTGTGTGTGTGTGCGTGTTTGTGTGTTTGTACGTTTTTGTGTGTTTGTGTGTTTGTACGTTTTTGCGTGTTTGTGTGTTTGTGCGTTTGTGCGTTTGTGTGTTTGTGTTTGCGTCTGTGTCTGTTTCTGTGTCTGTGTCTGCGCCTATGTGTGTGTGTGTTTTGTGTTTGTTTGTGTGTGATTGTGTGCATTTGTGTGTGCGCGCGAGTGGGCGTGCGTGTCTGCGTGTGGGCGTGTGTGCATTTGTGTGTGCGTGTCTGTGTCAGTGTCAGTGTCAGCGTTTCTGTCTGTGCCTGTGTCTGTGCGAGGGGTTGTGTTTGTGTTTTCATTTGTGTGGATGGGCATTGTTTTGTGTAATGCGTGCTTGTTGCTGTTTGTTCTGTGTATGTGTGCTTGTTGTTTAGTTTACTTGCGCTCGTTGCGGGTACCCTTTTTGGTGCCTTTTTGAAAGGAACTAGGTCACCACCCGTTTCAAGGCGTCTCCCGCCAAAACCTTGTCGTTGTTTCAGGAGAGACTTACAATGCAAACAGTATCTGAAGGTTTTGTTTTTGGAGTGGTCCAGATGCGTTGGAAACATAGGTTACCCTGCTGGAAGCTTGACGAAGCAAGCATTTTAGGTTCACGAAGCCTCTCGCGAAGGCCCTGTGGTTTGACACAGATGAAACCACTTGGGGCTAGCAAAAGGCCAGAGAAACCCGCAGCGTAGGCTCCCCAGCAGCACATACAACCACTTAAAAAGCCTCGGCTATGTTTCCGGTCATCCTCGCGTTTCGGGGCGTTCGCCGACCTCGGTTCTGTTCGGCTCCGCGAGGTGAACTTCTACATCGTGGGCGCGCAGTCGCGGCAAGGGCAAGGCTGGTGTGGTCTTCACCTAAGGGGTGACTCTTTTACTCATATAGTGATGGCTAGTTCTGGTTTTACAGCAACCCACAGCGACCCACAACTCTGGTTTACTGAGTTGGGTCCTTATCCCAAGGGTTGTGCGAAAAGAACTGCTTTGCCTGGTAGGGTCCATTGCTGACTGGGCACTGCTCATTGGGTTCCCTTGAAACTGACCCATGGGGCGGGGTGATTTTGCGGAGACTCAAATGGTGGGAGGAAACCTACTTGGGTGTTCATGCTTAGTAACCTATGTTATGTCCTGGGCTAACTCTACTGAAGGGAACATACAAGTAGTTTGTAACCAGTTATAACCTATTGAAGGTTACTACCAGTTACCAACTTGGACGAACACCCAACTAGGGACTGTTGTACCCTAAGGGTGTGATTGTTTTTTTCGCGGCAATACCCATCCTTTGCGGTGGGTGTATCTTCACTATGGCATGTGTCTCAGTTGTTTGCTTCTCTGGTGAGGGGCAACTTCAGTCAGGGGCTGCAAAGAACAAAGTGGTTGGCTGACAAACGAAACCTATTTCGCACTAGAAGCATGGGACACCAAAACCGTGGGGTTTGGTGTAGTCGCAGGAGGCTTTTGGCGAGAGTTGCCGATCCATACTTGAAGGTTCGGCCAACTTAGTCTTGACCTATGTGTTGCTTGAGTGGAGCTATCCGGGTAAGTAGGTCATGACCGTAACGGTCTCCCTAGGGTTGATCAACCCCCACAAAAATACGGTTTGGATGATGACAGTCGTTGGGAAAACAATGGCGGTTATATGAACCCCCTTTGTTTCAATGGTGGTTTGAACCGGAGATACGAACCGGTTACTATGGTGTTCGCACCCGTCTACCTCCTTGCAGGCACTGAGGTGGACAAAGAGGCCACCATGCTGGACTCCGTGTGGGGACCAGAGAAGACGGCGCGGGGGGGGGGGGGGGGGCCGGGGAAGGAGGGGTGGTCGGGTTGGGGGTGTGGGGGCGCGCAGGATCCTACATCGCTGCCGTTGGCTCACGGCATATTCCAAGCTCATGGCAACAGTCGATGGCTTGAGAGAACATGGTTTGGGCTTGCCTCGCAATGTAAATTAATTTGGCAGGAGAAGCCCTAAGAAAAAGAATTTAAGTAATGTCCTTACCAAAAAAGCGAACCACCCGTGACTAGTATGGTTCTCCGGGATAATTTAGCAGAGAGCAACAAAAAGCAGGCCCCTGAAGGGAAAGGTCTCAAAACACCTGAGAGGTGTCTTCAGAAATGGCATCGGGTTTCTGCACCAGTGAATCAACGTTGTTTTTTTCCAACGAGCTCTGGATGCATCCACGGTATCTCTCAGTTGCCCACAGGAAAATCAAAGGTTAGACTTTGATATGAATGAAATCATACACGTATGTGCCGCGAACCGAGGTGTAACGCGATAGGCTTTGGGGAGCCAAATGGAAATCCTGGATTCCCATGGGTCCAAGGGGCGCTGGCTTCCAATTGGTAGGTGTTCTTCAACAAAATAAGAAGCACACACATATTACAATACGCATACCTATTTGTAAATATAAATATGTAGTGTGCGTTCAGAAAACAAAGCACAATAATATCGCTTGGATGCGTTTGCGATACAATCTCATAGTGATGGCACCTAAACTTCCATACCTCCGCTGGTCGAATTGAGGGGCATTGAGAGGCCCTCGTGGGCTGGTCCTTCCTTGCTCCCAACGGGAAAGGAGCGTTGCTAGCTTTGTTCCTTTTGCAGGAGTGATGTAGCCCGGCTAGAGGGAAGATCATATTGGCCCGAAGGGAACCTTTCAATGGCAGCCAACAGGCCTTCTGTGATGCAGTCCAGGCGGGTTTCCCTTTGGCTTCCCTTTCAACGCATCCAATCCCCCCGCCCCCCAAATCTTCGAGCATAGCCCAAAGAGAACAGAACCATGCCACGTTTTTGTTGGCTTGATTTGGTTGTTGCTTTCGATTGGTTTGCCAAGCAAAGTATTGTTTGCAAGCAGCAACCCCGGTCTTCGCAGGGAGAGAAGTGCCACGTCGTCGGGGCAGCTCAGATCACCCGAAGCGGAGAATCCTCGCCGGAACTTATGCCTGGGTTCTCTATCTGGGTATGGCTCAAAATGAAAAGAGCTAGGGTTACGCAAGTGTTTCCATTTACCAAGGTGCCATTCTGAGTAGCAGCTTTTGAGCCACTGCCATCAAGGCTGGATTTAAACATAACCTTTGGGACCAAGTTGAGCTTCCTTTCGAAAGAGTCCAGCACAAGTCTTCCAAGCCCAGCCCATTCTTGTGGAAAATCGCCCCTGCATCAGTTTTGATGAAACACTCCGGACAAGTTGGTTTGTACAAATCGCCGTGGGGTCGGATCTGCCGAAAGCCCAGACTTGGAGGCAAGCAAACAGGAAACCTGTTATTTCTGGGTCCTTTGGGCAGCTGAGCTTATTGCAATGACGGAATTTGAATATGAGGGATTTGGAAGACAGCCGTCCAGTGCAGTTCCATTGCCTGAAAATTTTGCGAGGGCACTGGTAGGAACCGTTCCGGGGAGCAGGGGCGGTGTAGGCCCTATCTCAGGTTTCACTTTTGAGCAGGTCATCTCTCCGACTTGCAGCCCATAGACTAGAGCCCTCTTTGAGATGCCACGAGCCCGAGGGTACCCTTGCTTTAAAAAATCAAACATGCTTTTAAGCAGGAACATTAAAGGACCGCCGGCAATATAGACCCCCCCCCCCAATATTTTGAGACAACCTCCCTTCTGGAATCAATCCGTTTGAGTGGGCAAGGAGGAAGGCTCCAGCCATCTCTTTGGGACTTGTGAGCTCGCCAGGTGAGACGCAAAACCAACAGGGAAGGGTGGAATGATCCGTGACCACCTGTTAATACCACCCCCAAGTTTTCTCAACAGGGGCCTTGGGAGGATTCCTTTCTTTCAGTGGGGGGCCTGGTCCCTTGACTAAATCAAATGCACTCCTTTTCTTGTTTGGTTCTCAGCGGAAGGAATTTTAAACAATAGGAGATTCTTGGGAAGCCAACAGGGGATCAAAAGGAAACCAACTATTTTGGGGCCCGCATTGGCGACGGCGCGTATTCTCAACGGGTTGATTCCCCCTTCTCTTCACCCGTCCTTCTCTTCAGAAACCAGCCATCCTCCCAAGGTGCTGGTACGGCTAGATGTTCCAAACCAGGGCGTAAATGCGTAGTTGTACTAGTGTTCGTTGAACCTGCAACCGTTTTTGCCCGTCGCACGCACTCAGCTGCGACAAGCTCTCAAATTTCGAGGTATGGGATGTCGATCCGGAACAAGCGGCGCAGCCCGGGTCCCGGACCGGTCCAGTTTTTGCAGAGGGTAGCCTTTTTTCTTGTCAGTCTAGTTTGGGTGGCCCCTAAATTTAGAAGATTGTAATAGGTTTGCGTAAGTTCACCTTTGCGTAGATCTGTTTGGGCGAAGCTGAGGCTTCATCCAGTCAGTTGCTTCTGGATCAAGCATCCACCTACACGTGCCAATCTATCCCCAGGCGTCGAAACCATCGGGGCGCTGAGACATCATTTGATCTGCGCCTGTTGCGACGCTACTGCCAGCAGCCAGCCACACACCAACCCAAGCCAACCAACAGCCCAAGGAGCACACGATGGCTAAGTCGGATGGGTGACCGGGCAAAAAGGCCATTGAAACGAAAAGGAAATCGGAGCCAACTTTGGGGTTCTATTCGATTACAACCACATGCATGGAAATAGGTTGCCCCTTTTATGCCACAGTGCGGGTTCCGTTCATATGTGTTTGCGACTTTGTGGGAAACCCTTCCCGCAGATCGTCCGGGGTCCTTTCCGCTGGCCCAGTAGTTCCAAGCCCGAGCCCGAATCCTTTTTCGACTCCTCGAAAGGATCAGCACGCTACTTTGGAGAAACAATCATCCAACCGTGGGCAAGGGAGGATTGGGCGTCCCAGCATTTCCATGGACCCCTCAAGTGTTGGTCACATTCTAGTTTATCCTGGATCTTTCCCTGTGATTCAGTGATACCAGAGTGAGATTTCTAGCCCGAATGAGTATAGTTCAACAGAGGCTTCCAAGGCACCGCACAGAAAGTTGTAGACAACCAAAACACCTTTTTTACAACCATGCTCGGACAGCTGCGGGCCCCTTGGTTGATCAAAAAGTTCGTTGGGCCCAGTGTTGTGTTGTGCCAAATTACTCAGACATAGAAGTCGTTGACGTCCCGGAGGCACAAGTTATATGAGCCACGGCCAAAACCTACAAAGACCACTTTATCAAGAGGGGTTGAATTGCATGTCCGAACGTGCAAAACCATGTGGAACGAAAAAGACCCCCCCCCAAAACCGATAACTTCAATATCTCTACTAAGGCCAAGCAAGAGGTTTCGGCAGTCCCTCATACATATACACATATCCTATACATATATAGTATAATTCACAGGCCAGAAATTGAATGAGGAATGTCCAAGTAGCCGCCCTACACCTACGATCCCTTGGATCATTTTACCCTCGTGAACGGAATGCAGCGTGGCATATTTGTGCTGAAACCAACATGTTGATGTCCTCAAAGGAGGCCACAATGAGGATGGATATAAGTTTCATGTTATGATTATTCACGACCGGGCAAAGGCCATTTTGGCGAATGAATTATTGCTCCAAATTTGATTTTCGGGTGTAGGAATTCCCAACTGGTACGGTAAGCATTTCTACTTTTCTTTGAATCGTGAATGTGGACGTGGAAGACTACCTCCTCTTGAGGGCCCATTGTCCAACTCCATTGTTGGACAAAAGCTTTGTTGTGACTTGCCCATCCGATGGAGGAATCTCCCTTTGGGATCAGACCTTGCCGGGTGCGTTCTGTTCATTTGCGGTACGTTGCGCCAGGCGGCCCTTTGAGGATGTTCGATCATGTGGCCCACGATTTGCTTCTCTGAGGAGGTAAGGCAATTTACTAGGCAGACTATGCAATATGAAGCAGAATCTCGGAGAAATTCCTCCAGGGGACCGCTTCCCCCTTAGGCTGGAGTTCACCAAAGCCACGATGCAGCGCCTGGGAGGCGCGCGCCTCTCCGCCGAAAGCCCATAGAAACAGCCGGGGAATAACGGGAACACCCACATGAAATGGGGAGTACACTTGTAGAGAAGCCTCAGATTTAGGGGAGATGTACTTGCTTCGTTACAGACAAGATATCGATCTTCAAGGGAACGCCCAAATGGAGCTGTCTGGATGGATACATGGGGGGTATCACTGTTGAGATGAACGGCGGCCCCGTTTGTTGCCATCAAAAGCCCACCCCCAGTAGGTGGCTGGATACAAGCCCAGTTGCCGCATTTGTTAGCACGCCGTCGGGGCTGATATGTAAAGGTTCCTGGCTGTGGTATCATTGTGATGATGCTGAGTTCATTAGAACGTTGTCTGTGCTTATATGTGGGCATAATGGTTTGTGGCTGTGGTATCATCATAATGCTGTCAAAATCGTCGTGATCTTCGCTTATGTACAGGCCCAGAACTGATGCTGCTGCAAAATTTACTCCAGGACTCGGTTGTAGCGCATAAGGGGTTTTCGGTGAAAGGTATCATCACAATGCCTCGGAAACCGTCATGATGCTGCTGTGTTTCATTCAGACTGTCTGTGCTTATACGCACTGCAAATGTTCGTAGCCAACGGTATCAGCATGATGCTGCCAACATCATAATGCTGTTTGTGAATAGAGAGAGAGAGAGAGAGTGTCAGCATAGCGATTCGTCAGCGCAGTGTCATCGTGCGTCCTGACCTTCGAAGCCGATTCACTTCTTTAAAAAACTGAGCCCTATGCTGGTGTAACTTCTAAAGTTCGACGCAGGGAGGGAGCGAGAGAGAGAGAGGTACGATTTAGACCAACATTGTACTGGTTCGCAACAAAACAGAGCCATCATGACTCAACAGATTTGCTGCAAGTGTTTCCCGAAAAATGTGCAAGTTTTGGCGTCCTTCCCCTGCGATGATCTTATGACCACATTTGTGCGCTTGGTTTGTGCTGACACTATGTCAGAACGAGGATCCTGTTGGATAAATGGAGCGGGAAGAGGACGTTCTTGGTTGTTCGTTGGTTTGAGATTTACCTTCTGAAATATGACTATTGTTTTCAGCTGCAGCAAAAAGCGGGTCAGCCTGCCTTGCTGACCCCAACCCTTGAACCAAAAGGCAACACCAAGGGGGGCGGGGCAATTTTGACCGTCCCCTACCTGAGGAGACCCGGGTCAGTTTTGAGGAGACACACCCTATTGATCCGCCATGGTAAAACCGGGGGCAACATTAGTGGCAACCTGTTCATTGGTTTGAAGGCCCCTGCTTTCTATGACGCCAATTTATTGGCCTTAAACCATAAGGTAAACATGGGGGCCCAAAATGGGTTGGTGGCAAACCCCACCCCGCCCCAAAACAGGGCCATGTGCTTGATTTTCTCGCCGGGCTGTCCATTTCCGCCGTCCAGGACCCGTCAACGAGCAGCAGCAGCAGGTGCTCGAGTCGGAGCCTCGGGAGGGGGAGGAGGAAAGCCGCAAGCCACGTGTGGCCGTTTGTGTGTGTTTTGGGGGAGTTGGTACCCATTTCAGGATGGTTTCAAGGGAAACAAGCTTCAAGACATTTCAAGACCATCCAAGATCATCATTTGAGTGTGTGTGTTTTTGCGAGTTGGTTCGCTTCGCAGCTTGGTGGAAAGGAAAACCGCAAGAACAGTAACCATTTCTGGAGGAGTCCGGTATTTTGACACGTACCCATGTGTCTTGTCTTGGTCAACGTTTGGCATCCGACATTGGCGATCTTGAATGGAAATGAGGGCAACACTGAATGAATTCCTACATTTAGGGTGGAGAATTGGCCAAGGCTTTGGATGCTACCCGTTTCTGGGTTGTATCAAAGGAAAGCCAAATCAAAACCACGGCATTTGTGTTTGTTTCGGGGGATTTGCCCGAGGAGGCCAAACCCCAACGCGCCTTCTGGCCTTCTGCAATGCCCTGTTTTCCTCCTTTTGACAATTTGAGGGGTCTATCTCAAAATCGGGTGCCCGTCCTTTCGGTGTCCTTTTTAAGAGCAACCAACAGAGTGTCCTTTTTGCCCGGCACTGGACATTTGAGGCCACCTGAACCTGGCTTGTTGGGTGGCTGTCGGTGTCGTTCCTCATATTTCAAGGCAACAAGAAGCTGAAGCCAGAAGCCATGATCAATGCCAGCTAAGCCAGGCGTTTTTCTTTGCAAGCATCTCTTTCACTACGAGTGAAACCCAGGTGCACCCAGGACTTGTTGGAAAAAATCAGTGTGACTGAATTCATTGTTAAACCAGAATTCACCTTGAATGACAAGTGAAACAGTGAAGCCCGGGTGAAGCCAATGTTCGAACACACTGATCACTCTTGCACTGGCTGGGCCACAAAGACCTCCGGGTCCTGGGATGAGAAGAGGTGTGCTTGGTAAAGATTGGTAGGTTAGGACACCAGTGCCATTGTTTTCTAGAAGGAGACCTGGGGTTTTGAGCCTGGTATCTCCTCCATCAATAGCCTGGTATCTCCGAGCATTGGACTGGAAGGCGCTTGCCGGAGGTCCTCGGCAAGCCAGCGCAGGCCACGTCGGCTTTTACTTCTGTCTGATTTCAAAATGTTCCCATGGTTTGCGGAAGGCGAGCATGTGAGCATCGGAGCCGATTTCAAGCCAAGTTTTGGTTCATCCACATGTGAACTTGATGCACAACCCCTCTCTCTTCGGCGGCAGTGGAGTCGACCCTTGTTCAATTGGTGGCTTTTTCATAGTGCTCAAGTGACAAAGGGCTTCTTGTTCCTACTCGGGTCACTGGGCAAGGTGTAGTTGGGCAATGTTCCCAAACCGAATATGATGTGTGGCCGATGAGTTCCCCTTGTGTTTGGGGTGAAACATCATTGAGTTAGCGAATTGCAGGTGCCCTGTAGGGTACCAGACAAGTGGGGAGAAACCATGAGGCTCCTAAGTTACGGCCAAAACGTATGTGTTGCCCGCGACCGCCTGGCTGGCATGTCTGGTTTAGGTTTAGGGTTGTGTTGGTGATAGCACTACAAAACCAGGAAAAGTCGCCGCGCTCCATGAAGGGGGTATGGAGCATGGAGGTGGGGTGGGGCCTGGGGGGCTCGGAAGTGCGTTTTTGCTGTGCTTGCCAAGCTTCTTTTTGGAGGTCTATTGAACCCGCTAAGCAAACCTAAACCCGAAAAACCCTAAACCTAAACCACAAAAACCCTAAACCTAAACCCTAAGAACCCTAAACCTAAACCCTAACAACCCTAAACCTAAGCCCTAAAAATGCTGGAAACCCTGAAAACCCTAAACTAAACCCTAAAACCCCAAAACCTAAACCCTAACAACCCAAAACCTAAACCCTAAAAACCCTAAACCTAAGCCCTAAAAACCCTAAACCCAAACCCTAAGAACCCTAAACCTGCCAGTACGATCATACAACATAAAAAAAGACCTTGTGGGCGGCACGTATGTTTTGTGGGTAATGCATAAGTTACCTAGGCGGATTCCTGAAACTTGTTGCTTTGGGGTTCATACCTAAACACAAAAGGGGAAGTTTTACTGAGATGACAGGAAGTTTCCATGCTCATGTGTGGACTGCCGGTAGCCTTTCTGAGGTCAGCCCCATGCACTTCCTTTGCATTCCGGAAAACAGAGTAAGTGCGTTTTTTACTTGGTGTGCTCCATGCAGACATCTTTGCTGTTTGGGCCATTCGCAAGTCCCCCAAGCGGAGTTAACACGGTAAGGGCTCATTCCTGGGTTGCAGGACCAACCATTTGCTGGGTGCTGGGCGTTCGAACACTGCTTCAACCTCGCAGGTTGAATGGTCACCCCTTGAGGCGAGCAGCAGGATTCGTTCCAGGGTGCCGAAACCCCAAGCCCCAGCCTCGTGGCCGCACGCGTGATAGGACCTTTGTTCTTCTGCCAAGGACCATGGAGTGCGTGCCCTAAAAATCGATCCTCCAGAAGGTCAAATGGAACGCGTTGCAAAGCACGGAAACCATGGAATCCATGTGGTTCTTCCCCTCCCCAGGAGAAGAAAAAGGTTTGTAAGGGGCAAGAGTCTGCGATTGTTTCACTGACACCTTTCGCGAAGCACATAGATAAGTTAATTAAGCCATGAGCTCCCGTTGATTCTGGGCAGGCTAGGAGCACTTAGCTAGTTATTATTCTTTGGCAGAGCACGACTGGTTAGACATTGTATGCTCTTGGGATTGGTATAGTCCCGACAAAAGGGTGTCAAAAGCAATTATATATATTGTTATAAGAGTTTGCCCGAAGCAGGTCTCAAAACCGCAGTGTTATACGAAGCTTCTGTCAGTTGTTCCTCAACTTCTCCACAACGCCCTTCAAAAGGATCCTTTCCCTTGGCTAAACAGACCAGTCGTGAGATTTCCCAAAGGGACGCCGAAAGGGGATCGCCGTCCCTTTTGGCTTCTCTTTGGGAAAGTCAAGATGAGTAGTAGTTTCGTTTTTCCAACCCCCGACTCCACACACGCACACACACACGCGCACGCCAAGTCTCGCAGGCTGTGTACAACACCCGGAGCATGCTCAGAGAGCAACGCCAGGAGACGGATAATTAGTCACGTCACTCCAAGAAACCGGACGCGTTGGTTTCTTCGACCGTGTTTGTTGGGCTCGGACACCCAAAGGGTTGGAAAAGCGGGGGGGGGGGGGGGGTTGGGGTTGGAAAAGCAGGGCCCCCAGAAAGTATTATCATGTATGTCAGAGTTTGAATCGTGTCAGAGCCCGATTCAGGACAGCGCCGAACATGATTTGACATTTGGAGGTTCACAAATGGGCTGTCGGCCTGAGTTGAGGCTGAGGTGAATGACAGACCACGGTTTTCCATTTCGGCCTAGTTGATGTATAGGTGCGGTGTCTCAGTGCCTTGCTAAAGGGCCCCTTGTTAGATTCCCTTTGGTGGGCATGTCGATTTGATTTGTTGGGCGTTTAAAAACGACAAACCAAACTGAAGCCTCATTTTTGTCGGGCGGGAGGGGGGGTCCTCATTTTGGCGGTACACCAGGTCTGCCCTTGAGTTCTTGCTGGGGCTGGGGATCGATGAAATTGTGGAGGCCAATTCCTGTGTAGGCGCACCACACGGTTGCCTGAACACGGCCAGAGCATCCAGCGCTTGGGCAAATCATAGCAACCTTTCGAGGTGTTGTTTCATAGGTAGCCATTATTGCGATTGGTGAATGTCTTGTCTTCACTAGGCATGTTACGTCGAAACAATGACTGCTTGTGACGTCATTGCAGTAGACAACTTCCGTGCTTTCACTGCTATAGACTTGTAGTCTCGGTACAGGATACCGTGCCACGGGGAAAGTGCACACCAGCACTCAAGTATAAACTGTACATCTAGATCTTCTGCAGAAAAGATTAGCATTGGCTGACTTGGTTTTCTGATTGATATGAGCAACATGAGGCTGCATGCCCAAATGTTCCGCAGGCCTTAACACCTGAACTCGTTCGAGTCAAGCTCTTGGCCCAGCGGTAAGTCTACCTCCGCACCGTCCAAAACATGCCTTCGTGTCTCCAACTGTTCCTGGGAGTTCAATGCGGCGAAACTCTATGTGGGCCAACCAGGCTTCCGATGAAAAAAACCATGTCCCATGTGGAGCTTGTTTTTTACGACGGTAGATTCAAGAGAGACATTTTCAGTACAGGTGGTTAAGGATCTCATCAACCGTATCTTTTTTTTTGCGCAGTTTGTTCCCTGATTGGGGGACCGCTTTCACCAAACCCAGGGAAATAAACAGCTACCTTTTGTTACGGCATCCTTGAAATCCCCATTTTGGTTTGTTCCTATTTTACTTTTGAGATTCCCCCCAAAAGGCGCCCCTGTTTTCTATCACCGCCCAGTCCTGAAGCTAGCGGGTAAGGCTGAAGGCGCAGCGCTGTAGAGTCGTTGCGGGAAGCCAGCAGTCACCAAGCTGGACATCTGGAAACCCCTCTTGCATCACTCATCTGGGTGAATTATAACGCTCACACGACCGAATTCACCCCAAATGGTGGTTTGTGTTGGGAATAGCCCCCCAACCACCTTATTTCAGATTGGTGAAATATTATAATTCACCCAGACTCATGACCGACAGGAGGCCAACCAGCAGATGGAGCTGCAAAGGATGGCGAGCATGGCACATCAGGCGCCATCGAGTTGGGGGGGCAGGAAGGCGACCCGTAGGAAGGCTTTGTCCCCGAAAGACTTACTTGCAGGATTCCTGATCGCCCGGGTTGCCCTTCGGGGACCTTGGAGTGCACTTGGTCCGTCTGATTGGAGGTTGGCATTGTTATCGGATTGCCCACTTTGTAGCCATCTTGACGGGTCACCTACAGGGGTCCATCCCAGCCCTCCCATTCCCGTTCTCGCAGTGCTGGAGTGATCTTATCATAGCTTATCCATGCCTTGTGAAAGAAGCACGGCGATGTCTGAGGGTCCAAGATCGCCGCTATCCAACATGTTGTCGCATTCCCACCTGGGGGAAAGCGAGCTCATCCATGAAAGGCCTTTTCCCAGGGGTACCCTGTTTAACAGGGCCCTGTTTTCTTGGTTTTCGGATTCAGCTTTTGAAATTACTCGTGGTATGCAGATTCATGGAGGATGAGTTCTAGAGCAGAAGGGTACAATGACCTTGCCCGTGCTTTGCATTCGTAAGTCTTGAAGAAATGAAGCTACCCTACCGCCAGCACGCAACCTGCCTCAGGGTCCTTGGAAGACAATGTCTGCCTTTGTACTGGCGGATTCCATGCAAATTGGAGGCATTCAACAGCATACCCGAAAAATGAACTTCAAGACGATTTCTCCGGTTACAGATTCCTGCACGGATACCGGCCAGCAGAGCTCGCAACGGTCGCCTGCCCTGACAGCCGTCGTGCCCTCCCAGAGGTCCTTTACCTTGTGAGGTGATGGCTTCCTGGAAAGGGCCCTAAACTAGAAACCTAGAACGTAGGAAGGGATCTTAAGGTTGCACAGTCTGGTTTTAAAGGGAAGTGATATCCTTCATCCGCAATAGGAGCTTGCAGAGCCAAGGACGACAAAAGGCAA